CACACACACACACACACACACACACACACACACACACACACACACACACACACACACACACACACACACACACACACACACACACACACACACACACACCACCTCCACCACCCCCCATGCCCCAGTCAGGAAGCTGGATGAGCCAGCAAGAGCTGTGCCACCCAGGGTCTTGCTCCTCAGGCCCGAGAAGAGCTTCGGCCCGTGCGGGATGACTTTGAGGCCAAGAACAAGCAGCTCCTGTGTGAGATGCCGCGGTTTTACAACAGCCGACTGGACTACTTCCAGCCCAGCTTTGAGTCCCTGATCCGAGCACAGGTGAGGCCGCTGCCACCCGCATGATGGCCCAACACCTCTTCCCTCGGGAGGCAGTCGCGGGCTTTGGAGACCCATCTCACGCCAGCCCCGCCCTGCTCCCCACACCGGAAGCGGGGCTCAGCCACTCTCTGCCCCCAGCCCTGCCCCCGGTTGTTGGCTGGAATTCCCGTTTCGGTCTCTCCGTTGCTCTTTGGTTAATCCCAACTTTCGCACGAGGTCCCTTGTTGTCCAAGACCTCTTCGCTGAAGTTCTCTCCGCGAGCAGCAAGAGGAAACCAGGCCGCACCTCCAGCGCCTCACCCTGATGGGCAGGTCGCTTGCCTGGTGGGCCCAGGTCAGGGACAGGGGCCACAGGTGACGGCCTTTTTCCGAGGACCCTGCACCCCCTCCCCTCCCTAGTTAGTCCTTCTCTTTTGGTGGAAGACTAGGGGGTGTCTTGACTTTTAGCAACACTTGGAGGGGTCCCTAAACCCCGGCGAGAGCCATGAGCAGGGCCCCCGCCTGGGCGCGAGACCATGATGCATCTTCCAGCGGAAAGGCAGGCCCTCTCAGGTTGGGCGCGGGTGGACGTGCACCGCGGTAGCGCCGGGCCCGAGACCCCATGCCTCCTGCTACTCAGGGGTGTAAAGACATAGTGTGGCTCCTGCCCTCCTTCCCCCTCCCCCACGTCCTTCAAGCCCTTAGCAGGGAGTATTCTCCCCATCTGTAAAAGAGAAAAGGTTGAGGTGCCAAAACCAAGAGGTCTTCTCCACGTGGGAACCACCCCTCGCCTCCCACCCACCAGGTGACTGCAGGTGCCCAGCACTCTGCCACCTTCCCCACCAGGTAACAAAGCTGAAGGCTCAACACGTCCCCGCCTGCCTCCAGCCCGCCTCGGCGCTGGGCCTGAGTGTCTGGCGCCCTCCAGTGGGCACTCTCGTTCTTGCACAGTCCACAATCACAGATACCCAGGAAAAGCCTGGTTCCTGCCTCCCAGCCTGTGTCTTCAGAGAACACCAAACCCCATGGGAATCATGGGATCCAGACACTTGGGATCAGGACCCCTGAGCAGGATTAAGGTTGGATCCGGGACTTGTTAGTGACCGTGTCCTTAGGGGCTCAGGGAAAACGAGGCAGAGAGCTACGTGCATAGGGACGAGGAAGGTTCCCACGCTTGCCCCGAGAGCACAGCCCCTGGAGGTGCGGGCTTCCTTTCAGCAGCTTCGCCCTGGGCTGGGGACAGTGTGTTTCAGGAGACCTGTGACTTCCCTGTCCTGTGCTGCTGCTCCCGGACCCGCAGTCACCTGCCCTGCCCCCTCCACCCTGCTGCTTGCAGGAGACAGCTCCAAGCTGCCCAGGTTGGGAGCTAGGGATACCCTGTAACCAGGCAGCAGGGTGGCGGAGGGTTGTTTACTGCCTCGTCAGCGCCAGCCTCCCCCTCCCGCGGCTGCTGCTGCCATTAGTCACTGGAGAAGTGAGCATTCCTAGTGACTCAGCCTGCGCAGTGCGGCTCAGGGCAGGGAGCTGGGGCGGGG